TGACTCTCTAATATAACAATATAGGTATGATACACAACAACCACGTAAACAAAAATCAATAGTAAAGCACAGAGGTAAGAATGTAGAATGAAAAAATGGATTTAAAAAATAAGATACAGCATAACTCCAATAGTCTTGGGTAGCAACCATGAATAGTAACGTTAATTTCGCTGGTAATCATAACATTTCAGTTTCTCATACAGGATTTCCACGGCGAATATGCATCATCGCCTCACTTGAAGTGGCTGACAGATACGATCTACGGATAGTGATAAATTCTCTTGTGTCTCTCGGTGTCATATTCACATATGTTTCTGCTCAGCTCAACTCCGAGATGGGATGTCGCATCCGATGCCTTGCAGATGTTTTAATAGCGTGGAGCCACGATCTGCTTAAATGATCCCCCTATGAGACTAGAAGCAATGAAAAGCTGCTTTTTGCCTGTAAATCCGGTATCAATAACTGAAATATAATATTTACTGGAGGAAAAAACATTTTCATCTGCTGGAAACAACAAAAGCAAAATTTGACTTAAACGTACACTACTTAAGTGACCTGCGGTTTGCCCACGATATTCTGATTTTCTCAAGATGCCAAGAGAACTCCAACGAAGAATCTAAAAGCCAACGACGCCAGCGTCATGGCGGGACTGAAAATTGACCAGAAGAAAACGCAGGTCATGTTTAACAACTACGTCACCGCACGACCTGTTGATGTCAATGAACTCAGGCTTGAGGATGTGCCAAAATATGTCTGTCTGGTCTGTCTGGAACAGCTCACCTCTGCAACTGAAAATTGACCCTGTGAGATTAAAAGAAGAATAAAATTGGCATGGACCACTTTCGGAACGTTTAAAATATTTCTGTCATGGATACTACCCTGTGTTTGAAAATGAAAGTTTTCGAACAATGCAACGCCATTGGCTTAAGCATGTACGCTAAGTTTGAAAGCTGCTTATAATATGCAGAAAATGTAATGTAGCATGGAAATATCATGCCTGGAATAACAAAAACGGAAGAAACTGAATCTCAATGGGCCAAAGCACATACAAGAGTGAGCGATGTCATTGCCAAAAAGGAAGAAGTTACAGCAGCAATAGGCAAGAGAGGTTGTAAACGGAACCGCCCATCGCTGGACCAGAGAGTCATTAGACTGGGTTTCAAAAGTGAGTAAATGGTTAGTACGAAGACCTCCAATCAGTGACTGGATGGGCTGAGGAAGTTCGCTGGTTCAAGATGCATGAAAACGGCAGAAAATTGAGGTCTATGGTGGAGTCTTGGAGAGCTCTTCATCGTATGGTAGACTGGCAAAGGCTGATGGTGATGATTTACCGGAAGAGTTTGAAAGCTTCCTTCACGATAGCCATCGCAGAACATCGGCCTCGATGTTACTTCATTTACTCCATTTAAATTTTCTTTTGTATATTTATTTGCCAACGGATGATGTCAAACTCTGTCAGTGCTCGAATGTGGCATTGTTTAGCCCAGCTCGGAGATGCTGTCGCGTCCGACGCACTACCTTAACCTGAACATCAAAAAGTTGCAACCTGCTTAGTTGTCACCAAAGATGACTTGAAGGTAAGGCAATACGTATTTACCGTATGAAATCGATATCAGTAACGGAAATGAAAGCAATTAAATTAACGAAAATTCATTAATAAAGCGTTATTATTGAAATGAATGATACATAACTGTAGAGATTAGTAGGATAGAATCGATTTGAGATGATTCCACATTTGCTATTCTTCGCACTGCAGAGGCCAAGTCATCTGCGGAATCAAATTTTTTCTACATTTAAGTTCTTGATTAGAGGGGCATACTTTCTTAGACCTCATGAACTGAGAATTCGAAATGCGTTTTAAATTAGATTTGTGCAGAGGATAGCAAGAACCAGTTAGGAATGAGTTTCCAATATTTACAATGTTTGCAATCTCAGCGACAACATTTATTGACTTGCAGGTTCATTTTTATTAAAATCACTCCGAACCGTCGACTGCAACTTTTTCGAACCGAGTTAAGTCAGCAACATCGATTCGGGCATGCTGATGGGTTCCGTTTAGTGAATACCAAGCAAAGCTCTCATGCCGCACAAGCTAGTGATAAAATTCTGTAGCAATGGCTTCACGTCTCAAAGGCACGAACTCATTTCATGGATTCCATATGAAAACTACTTATTTTCCTGAACATGAAATTCAACCAATGAAACAATGAACATTGCAGCGAATAATGCCAAACCATATAGTGACTGCAAAAAAATTCATACGATTCATATGGCTGAACAGCTCTGGCGTCAACGCATAGTGAGGGGTCAATGACAGGGCTGTGTAACAACCGACTCTTTTCAGTTCTGATAACAGTTGATGAATGATTTCAAAAATGCCACTGACACTGTCAAGCATATGGATCGAGCATATGCTTTTCACTCCACCCCGTGAGTTTCTCATATGGCAATCAAAACAGCCAGTATCG